TAAGTACGAGATATACGTATAAATTTGAAGTCCTGATGCGAAAAGGTACTGACCCGCAATGTAAGAATTGTAGAGACTGTATGGGGTATTTATTTTTAAACTTTATCCATAAATGCGCGAAGGCGCTAAAGAACGCACGTAACGTGAATTCAAGTCTACTTTAAATAAACATCAAAGCAAGCAAACGGGGGACCAAAACATGAAGGTCCTTGGGAAACTGATCGTTATTATACATCGAGTTCCCAGCCATATTAAGCATACTGAGGTTAAAGTTGGATTATCATAAAATCTCTTTGATTCACCTGCTACGTAACCTCTCAATAAAAAGTTTACATCCTGAGCTTGGTGCTTCTTCCTGCTTGGGTTCAGGAATAACGTTATTACGATCGGGTTAATATCGGAGCAATACTGACCCGCAACATACGAATTGTATAGTCTGTAAGGGGTATATTCTCTTTATACATAAATACGTAAAAGGCGCTAAAGAACGCTCAACCTAAATTTGAATCCTTGTGAAATAAATGCTGGTTTCTTCCAAACTGCACGCAAACTCCAAATCATGAACTTGATGCTTCGTCCTGTTCCTTCAGGAATAACGTTAACATCCTACCGATCGACTAAACATCGCTTAAAACGCAATCTTAGCATAAAAAAACTTTCAGAAGGAAAAACTTGCAAATAAATAAAAATTGTGCTTTTTATATTAAAATTTGAAGAAATGAGGTGAGACAGCTCTTTACATAAATTATTTAGTATTTACCAGGTGAGACATATGTACAAATGCCTCGTCCTAACACGAAAGAAAACAACACTTATTTCGACTTTTGAACTCTACAATAAATTATTTACAGCAAGACGGACAAACACCTTTGGAGTTGACACTGGGAAAGAGAAAAGACAAATCAAAGCGCCATAGAAGATTGATTAAAAATTTATATCTTTTTATTTATATCTATTCATATTTTTTGAGTATTTCTCAGTTACTATTTAACTGGATCGGACGAACATATAGAAACTAAGGTTTAAAACAGCGCAATCTTCTTGTCAATATCCTTAAATCACGATCTCATTCATTTCATCTAAACCGCCCCATCTAAAATAAAATTTTGATGTTTCATTATTCTCGTGTTTGCCACTCAAGTTCGAGTAAATTTCAATCATGGACCCTTCTTAAGCTCAAAATTTTCAGTAAAATTTCATCAGACGATGTTTGTATAGGTAATCATATGATTTCGAGTGCAAGTGGAATAAATAAGCACGAGTAAATTTTTCAAAAAAAGACTAACAAAATTGCACGAGCCCGTAGTACGATCAAAACAATAATATGCAATGATATCTTCGCATCTTTAAGGTGCAAAAAAGTTCAAAGTCCGGCTAAACAGTTCAAGGAATTGTTCAGTCTGTGTCCGAATCACTTTTGATGAAATGGAATCGTCGTTTCCGAGGTTTAACCATGTTTGTTTTTAATTTCGGCGTTGGATCGCTCGAGCAAAGTGTTAAGCCGGGTCGGCTCGTAATTTTCGATTTCCTCGGCAATTCCCTTCTCTAAACACCACTTTTTCCAAACCGACAACCAAAAAGCAGAGCCTTTTACAGTGTTTTCATTGTTTAAGCTGTTTTTCAGCTGCGGTGGCGAAAGAAAACCTACTTAAAACGCCGGCCATTGTTTCGCTCGCAAATTTTCAAATTTTCAAATTTTGTTGCGACATCAAAGGCTCGTATTTGATTGGCTCTCTGTGAGTTTCTTTGATTATTGACCAATCAGAATGTATGGTTTGTTTCTCTCTTTGCACTGAATTAACCCTCTTCTGCACTGAATTAACTCTCTTCTGCACTGAATTAACTCTCTTCTGCACTGAATTACCTGAAAACTGCATTTATCTTAACCAATCAGAACTGAGTAATTTTTCCATGTATATTATTAGATGCCAAACAAGAGATTGTAAAGTTTCTACTCTCTTGTTGATGCCTTTTTGGGTTCAGTATGGAGAAAATTCAATGGAGAGGATGTGCTAATAGGGAATCAGTTTTATTCTTCGGCAAATCTCCGGCTTTTTATAGTAACTAATTACGTAATCAGCTGGTCGAGTGACACCACTTTCCCGCCAAAATCAGCGTTCCATAGCGAGATCGAGGAGGACTGTTCACTATAATCATGATAATGGCATACATACGGAGACTGACGATTCAAACCTATGATTTGTTTTCACGGATTTCCAGGATGAGTACTTCCCCGTATTTCACCTCAAAAGGAAGACAAACACGCTCGGCGGCTAGAGAAGCAATCGCAGCTTTGTCAACGAACCAAAAGGAACCAAGAAGGCACATCAAAATCGAATACGAGAAGCGACATGAAGAAGGCTCGTCTGGGGACGACATGAAAACTGAAGATGTTGCGGCCAAAAAGCGTAAAAGAGACACGTCCACGGCACAAACACAAGGTTCAACTTGGCAGCTTCTTACCTGGAGAGAGCAGCTTGCTAATATTTGTGAAATGAAAAAAAACACGCGATGCCCCAGTTGATTCACAAGGATGCGAGAAGACAGCTGATGAGAGCCAGTCACTAGAGGTGAGAGGAGATAAAATTGGCGATCCAGTGGGGTGGGGTAAGGGAAAAGCCGACACAGTGGTCTCCT